TCCTTTTAGACCTCAGGGCCTTTCTCATTAAGATGACCATTAATTTAGTAACACAAGATCATTAAACTTTTTAACATTCAGACATTTACATCAGTAGCATTTATATTATAAAACTTAAAATTTAGCACCACTTCACATCTGACAGTACTTCTAATATAATCCAAATAGCCTGATAGTTGTGTCTCTCTATGATGAGACATATGTCTTTGAAATTTTCCAGGAGCACATCTGGAATTGTCAAAGTGTAAATTTTGGAATTTTGATTTTTTTGAATGACTGTCAAGGATGTCAAGAAAGCTCAAAATCTAAAATATCTGGTTGAAATAAAATTCTTTAACATCATGACATTATATAGACCAAATCTGATCCTTGTTACAAGGTGACTATTCAAATGCTTGGAAAAAAAAAAAAAGCACATATTTAAATAACCCACAGCTCTAAATAAAAACTCAGCTATTTTTAAATAATTAGGATTTAACAGAGACATCAAGGGAACATAATAGATAGCTTTAACTCACTGCTTTAAGAATCATATCCTGGCTGGCACCGCGGCTCACTAGGCTAATCCTCCGCCTAGCGGCGCCGGCACACCGGGTTCTAGTCCCGTCGGGGGCGCCGGATTCTGTCCCGGTTGCCCCTCTTCCAGGCCAGCTCTCTGCTGTGGCCAGGGAGTGCAGTGGAGGATGGCCCAAGTGCCTGGGCCCTGCACCCCATGGGAGACCAGGTTAAGCACCTGGCTCCTGCCATCGGATCAGCGTGGTGCGCTGGCCGCAGCGCGCCAACCGTGGCGGCCATTGGAGGCAAAAGGAAAACCTTTCTCTCTGTCTCTCTCACTGTCCACTCTGCCTGTCCAAAAATTAAATAAATAAAAAAATAACTTATAAAGTGTTACTCAGGTTCTATGTCAATTTCTCCAGGTTATTTTAACTCGTCAACTAATTTTCTACTGCCAATTTTATGTGCCTGGAGAGCAGGCACTGGGTCTGCTTCTACACCAAAAGACAGTGTATGACATTAGAAAAATAGATCATTAATTAATGTTCAAAAATACACAAGGTCAATGAACTCATGGGATAGTAGGACTGATGGATAGCTGGACTAGTGGGTGGATGGAAGGATAGGTTGTGTGGATGAATGGGTGGTTGTATGTGAGTAGATGAATGGGTGGATAGGTAGGTGGACTGGTTGTGGATGGATGGGTAGTTGTTATGTTTGGATGAGTTGGTATGTTCATGAGTGTATGAATGGGTGGATAGGTAGGTGACTGGATTCTTGGATGACTGATCAGATGGACTGAGAAGAAGCCAAGAAGTCTAGGAGGCTTAGGATTTCATGGAGATGCTGACAGGATTCTGTGAGAATTTTCCTCAAGTGGCTAAATGCAGATTTTCTAATCATCACTTAATATATGCAGAGCATATGTATAGAGGGTATTATCATGATCTAAAGGACTAGAGTAGAAATGGAAAGCTTCTAGTACATGTCATAATAGACTGTATTGTAACTTCAAATGATGATCAGAGGGCCCTGGAACAACCTGTCATAAATAGGCACATCAGATGGCTTCTGGATCTTTAAAGTGGCTTGCTGTAAAGGCACTCTCCAATTGTCAGTCATATACAAAAGTCATACCATGGAATTATATTGAAATACCCTAGAGACCCCCAACAATATCAAGCTGAATAATCTCACAGTACATAGTACTTAAAGAGTTGGAAATGTCTTTCTATATGTATTTACTCATTAATTTTCCCACCTTTTTGTGAGGCATGCACTAATCTCATTTTACAATGAAAATCGAGCATCAGATAGGTTGAGAGATATGCTTTAATAATGGATAAAACTGTTTACATGAATGAAGTCAATGGCCATTTGTGTCTTTTCATCCTATATTGAGTGCCTTTTCTCTTTCCTGATACCTGTGGGTAGAGGAAATGTATAGTACAAAGTGCACACTGCAAAATCAATCCATGCAGGACTGATAAGTCAATGGGCAACACTGGGAACTTAAGTTTTTTGTCATACATTGTCTCATGTACAACACATCCCTATTTTTTTCCAGAGAACACACAGGAATGGAGAACAAAGTGTTCCATCCCAACCTCATTATTCTTTTGGCAAACCCAATACAAATTCTCTCTCCTACAGAATCTGACAGGCACACAGATGAATGCACCAGTTCCTAAGAAATTCTTTTCTTTACTGTTCTGACATACTGAGTGTCCAGGCTTGCAAAATACCAGAGTGGAATGTACCCTGGCCCTTGCCTATACTGCTGCTGGCTCCTGACTCAGAGCAGCACAGCACCGGCTGTTGTGACCATATGGGGAGTGAACAAACGGTTCTCTGTCTCTCTCTCTAACTCTGCTTCTAACTAAATAAAATCTATAATAAAAAAAAAAAAAGAAAGCAACCTGACAGAGTACTACAACCAAACCCACAGTCAGTCACAGGCAGGCATGGTCAATCAAAACTTAGACACAGAAAGCTAAGAATTAATCAAACCCATACACACATAGCCACTCGAACCTGAGACAGACAAGTCAGAACAAATCTAAAGGAGAGAAAACAGCTCTGAGAGGCAGTAACACAGACGCAGCCATGGGCAATAAAACCTGAAACAGAGAGAAGGTTAGAATCAGTTGAACCCACAGACTAACAGACGGAGGTAAGGCCAATGAAACCTCAGACAGACATACAGAAGTCAGAAAGTGGCACAGAGGCAGCCATGAGCAATCAAACTGAGACAGTTACAGAGAGAGGTAGAGACAGAGAGAGAGGTCTTCCATCCGCTGGTTCACTCCCTAGATGGCCACAACATCCACAGCTGAGCAGATCTGAAGCCAGGAGCCAGGAGATTCCTCAGGGTCTCCCATGCGGGTGCAGGGGCCCAAGCACTTGGGCCATCTTCTACTGCTCTCCCAGGCCACAGCAGAGAGCTGGATCAGAAGAAGAGCAGCTGGGACTAGAACCAGCACCCATATGGGATGCCGGCACTGCAGCGGCGGCTTTACCCACTATGCCACAGCACTGGCACCATAAATTTATATTTTTTCATTTCATTCTTATTAATGTTGTGAAGTACACTGCCATTCTGCTGGGTATTTCAATTCAGAATAGTGTTACAATCCCAAGAGAGGCTCTCAGGGAAGTTTCCTGCTCACCCATCCATCATTAAGCTGCTCAAGCTGCAACCATAGCAAGTTCCTGGGGACACTACAGGACCTTGTGCACTTGCTGCAACCACCTGGGAGACACACAAACCACATGGCTGAATCATATTTGTTTGCCAATCAATGGCAGAAGAAAACTTTAAACAGTAAAATAACATGAGAGAAAACTGTTTATAACGTTTTTCTCAGAGAAAATGCCTATGACAACTTGTAACCATGCATCTTCCAAATATTCCAAATGAGAACCGGTATGTTATGAAGACTGTTTGAACTGTGAACACGTGATCTTTTTTGTATATCATGGGAGAAAACTTCCTGCAGCAAACGGATAAATGGTACACAGATGATAGAAAAATATCCATGAATGAAAGATATTTGCACTACTATGAGTATGACAGCTCAATTTATGATACCTCACATATAGAATCAATCACTTATCCATCAACTCATGCTGAATTTTAAAATTCTGTTAAATATACACTATGGAATTACTACTCATGCATAAAAAGGAATGAAAGCCTGTCTTTTTAACAAAATGGATGTGACTTGAGATCATGTTGCGTAATGAAATAAGGCAGGTTCCTAAAAGACAAATATGTTTTCTCTGATATACAGTACTCAGTGCAAAAACAATGCATAAAAATGAAACTTACATGTTTTTCATTGCTTTTTGAAGCAATAAGGAAATGTCCATCTCAAGCTCACCTTTTAGCTTTGGGTGGTTTGGGAATGGAATACAGGTGAATTCTATAGCAGTATATTATCATTTCAAATCCTTTCTTCTCAGCACCTGCAATCCTCACTATTTTCTCCTCTCTCCTGTCTCCTTTACTTCTGCATGTTTCCAACCATGGAGTCCCTCACCTTATTAACAATTCTGTCATCACACCCTGCCTTCTGGGGTTGGGCAGTTCCCTTGCCCTCTGGGAAAAGTGATGCCTTACTGCATTCTGAGATAATAAAGCTCCATTGTGTTCTTGGAAAATGAGGTTCCCGTCTTCTTGTGAGACAGATGTCCCATTACATTGAAAATGACAGGAAGTTTTGTGTACACAGGAAGACTACCATACTCCAAGTCAGGAAAAGATTTACAATTTTTGGTTTAAAAATTTACTAAGAAGTTAGTTTTTCCACTTAAATACTGAATTCATCTGTTTATGAAGCTTAAAACTGGATTACAATGGATGACTGTTATAAATAAAATTTCACCTTTTAGCATACTTTTCATAGAGTAACAAAATACTCGATGTACCTTACCATCTTGACAATTTTTCCATGCATGCTAAAGAAAATGGCATCAATTACTATGCTACTTCTTCCAGTTTCAATATACTATTTCTGGAGCCACAAGTCTTATAAATTCAAAACTGTAACATACATCCTTATTTTGAAAACTGCATTTTACAAATGGATTTACAAGGATTGAAAACAAATAGTTACAAAACTATAAAAGGTAACAAACTCAGTATAAAAATACTTAAGCTGACACCATTCCAAAGTATATTTTGATCATTCTTAAATGTTATAGAGACCATAAATATATTTCTGAAAGATACAGAACAAGTCCATAGACTATAGAAATAGTTAATACTATTCCAGACAAATCTATGACTTTCAATTTTGATTTTCAATTCTGATTAAACATCAATTTCTTGCAACTGTGACTGTCAATGGTAGAAAAGGCATTTCTTTCTCTTTTTTAAAATGTTTTATTTCTAAGTCTCATTATATAAAAATAAAGAATTAATATGTCACCTAAGATGGTTTCAACATCCAATTTTAAAGAAATATAGTATAGTAAATACATTAAAAAAAAAACGGAATTAAGACAATTTGTTTTAATAACAATACTCATGGTAAATAAAGTTCTATTCTTCTTAAGTTGATGGTCAAAATTCCCAGTTAATGTCTTCAGCAAATGAAAACTGAATTCAATTTAGATCTGTAAGTGAAAGAAAGAGACCCATGAAGAAATAATTATTGTAACATAGGAATCTCTTCAGGATTACATGTCAAATTCCTTTTAAATGAAATAGATTATACATTAGATTTTCTCAATTCCCTATCTACTGTTAGTAAAATCTTTCTGTTCTCAGATGTTCTACTATGGGAAATATCCTTAAAAGTTCAGTATACCCTTCTGTCCTTTAACAATTAGATGAGGCACAGTCCTACCCAAATCTGTTCTCTGAGTGATTAGTCACAGGAGCAAAATTATATAACCTATAAACCTCCCAGAAAAATGATCCAGAAGTTGTTAGGATTTTTAGGTAATGAAGGAAAAGTAAAATCTTATAAAATGCACAAATCTACCCTGAATCCATGATAGTTACACTTTTGATGCTTGACAAAGAAATTAACTGTTCATACTTTCTACCCTTGGGAATCCATCGTATCTAGGATCTGCAAAGGAAGTTCTGTATGTTTAAGATAGATTAAGATATATAGTATAAACTATATATTAAACTTATATAAAACCAGCAGATTACTTTGTGTTTAAATTTTTTTAATGCACATACACAAAGATACTAGCCTTCATAATTTTTGGAAACTCTGGTTATTATATTGCATGAACTTGGTCAAAAACAACTGCAAAAAATCATTTTGTGTTTTTCTATGTGTGCATTGTTTGTGTGTGCAACTATGCAGATTTTTTTTCTGAACTATTTTTGTTGCACTGTGGTAAGAAAAAATCTAGATTGAAATGTAAGCTATATAGTTATTTTAATAGATAAACAGAAAATCAGGATGTTTCATTTAAATGAGTTAACAACAGAACAGTCGCAGGCATTCAGTTCTGTGTCCTCATCACTTTTTAAGTTTGCACAAAATAAACATGCAACAAGACCAAACCAAGGATCTGGGCAATAACAATGCTCACAAAGAAATTAGTATTTCCTATTACATGCTCCATAATATCTGTCTCCACAATCAGGCTTTAAGAGTCTGCAGTAGGGCCAGCACACTGTGGAATAGTGGGCTAAGCTTCTGCCTTGAAGAGCAGTATCCATGCTGCTCCGTATCTGATCCAGCTACCTGCTATGGCCTGTGAATATCCAGCTAAAGATGGCCCAAGCAGAAGGCCCTGCCACCCCATATGGGAGATCCAAATGAAGCTACCTAGACCAGCACTGGCTGCTGCAGCTATCTGCAAATGGAAGATCCTGTCTCTCTCTGTCTCTCTTCACATCTCTTTCAAAATAAGTAAATTAGCCCTGCACCACATGGAAAAAGCTCCTGGCTCCTGGCTTCCGCTCAGCACAGATGCAGCCATTGCAGACATTTGGGGAGGGAACCAGAAGATGGAAGACCTCTGCTCTCTCTCTCATACCTCTCTGTAACTCTGCATCTCAAATAAACCTTTAAAAAAAGCAGCAATTTCAGTATATCACTAAGTTAGTTCAAACAAAAATCTTCTACTATTTTATTTAACAGAAATATCTATTTAGATACTCTGCTTATACAAACTGTAACCATGCAATATCCATGGGAAAGTTAATAATTACTTTTCAGAAAGTGCTTGTCCAAGTATAAACACCTAGATTGGCTAGATTGTTTCTAATAATATATTCAAATTCACAGCATTTCCATTATGCATTAAGCACTAAACATTATTAGCAAACACACCCCCTCAACCTTTAGGGTCATGTACTTACATCATCAATGTCTTCATCATCATCTCCAATATCATCAAACTGGATTTCATCATCATCTCCAGGACCAAATGTATCGGTTTCATTGATTTTAGCTAAATAAATAATAAATGCATAAAAAAATTCATTACACAATTAAAATGTTATTAAAATGAGTAACGCAAGAGTCTATTATAGGCCAACCTTCCATTCAACCAAAGTTCTGCTATTAGGAGCAAATATATATTGCTTTAGAGCCGGCGCCGTGGCTCAATAGGCTAATCCTCCACCTTGCGGCGCCGGCACACCGGGTTCTTAGTCCCGGTCGGGGAGCCGGATTCTGTCCGGTTGCCCCTCTTCCAGGCCAAGCTCTCTGCTATGGCCAGGGAGTGCAGTGGCGGATGGCCCAGGTGCTTGGGCCCTGCACCCCATGGGAGACCAGGAAAAGCACCTGGCTCCTGGCTCCTGCCAGGATCAGCGCGGTGCGCCGGCTGCAGCGGCGGCCATTGGAGGGTGAACCAGCGGCAAAGGAAGACCTTTCTCTCTCTGTCTCTCTCTCTCACTGTCCACTCTGCCTGTCAAAAAAAAATATATATATATTGCTTTATGAAGCTATATAAAGCAATCTAACAACAAAATCCCCCAGAAATTCATCTATTCCTAAGTCATTACAACAGAGAATATATGTGCTGCACTTTTGTTCAGTGCAACATAATTTTAATAACATTTTAAAAATTTAACAATTTTAAAAACATCAAATGAGTATGACTAAACAACATGTAGTCACATGAAGTATAAAACATCATGAGATTTAAAACAACTAGTTCTACAACTACTGAGAGAAACTTAGCAAACCAGAGCAAGATTTAGTCAAATCATGTTATCATTAAGAAATAACAGTGACGCATAGCTGGTGCTGTGGCATACTGGGCTAAGCATCTGCCTGCAGCGACACCATCCCATATGGGCACCAGTTCAAGTCCTGGCTACTCATTTCTGATATAGCTCTCTGCTCTGGCCTGGGAAAGCAGTTGGAGATGGCTCAAGTCCTTGGGCCCCTGCACCCCACATGGGAGACCCAGAGGAAGCTCCTGGCTCCTGGCTTCAGATCAGAACAGCTCTGGCCATTGCGGCCAATTGGAGAGTGAATCAGTGGGTGGAGGACCTCTCTCTCCTCTGTTCTCATCTCTATGTCTCTCTGTAATTTTGTCTTTCAAATAAATAAATACATCTTTTTAAAATAAATACATAATAAAAGAGAAAGGAGGTGCTAGACTAATTCACAGACATCGGCACTTCCTCAAATGCAAAGAATTTCAATGATTTTCAGATCTTTCTCTGTGTCTCTCCCTCTCACTGTCTGCAACTTACCTCTCAGATAAATAAATAAAATCTTTTAAGAAAATGAAAACTATGAGTCGGCTGAGAAATGTTAAATGGAAAAATGCTAATAATGTGTTACTTTGACAGAAGTTTATACAAATCCAGGTTTCAAAGTTTTGCAAACTTACAAACTCACCAGAAAGTGTATATATTTAATGTCACAGACAACTCCATGAAAATTCCTTCAACTAAACAACAAAGAATGAAAATATCTATGACATAGCGGCACCGCGGCTCAGTAGACTAATCCTCCGCCTTGCGGCGCCGGCACACCGGGTTCTAGTCCCGGTCGGGGCGCTGGATTCTGTCCCGGTTGCCCCTCTCCAGGCCAGCCCTCTGCTGTGGCCCGGGAGTGCAGTGGAGGATGGCCCAAGTGCTTGGGCCCTGCACCCCATGGGAGACCAGGAGAAGCACCTGGATCCTGGCTCCTGCCATCGGATCAGCGCGGTTGCACCGGCCGCAGCAGCCATTGGAGGGTGAACCAACGGCAAAGGAAGACCCTTTCTCTCTGTCTCTCTCTCACTGTCCACTCTGCCTGCCAAAATAAATAAATAAATAAATAAATAAATAAATAAATAAATAAATAAATAAATAAAACAAAAATAAAAAAAGAAAAAAAAGAAAATATCTATGACAGAGTAGATTAATAATAATAGACATTACCATGTTCAGGAAGCTCGCCATATGCCTTCAGACTTCTCGCTTCATCTGCGTTGTATTTTAAAATTACGTCTGCTTTGTTATCCTTAGAAATAAACAAACTTGTAAAACTCATAACACCTGCACTGCTTTTCTTCCTTTACCCACCCGTTACTCTAGTAAAAAATTCTAAAACAAATAGAAAAAAAATATAATTTTAAATAATTAAAATATAGGACATCTGAGCCGGCGCCGTGGCTCAATAGGCTAATCCTCCGCCTTGCGGCGCTGGCACACCGGGTTCTAGTCCCGGTCGGGGCGCCTGATTCTGTCCCGGTTGCCCCTCTTCCAGGCCAGCTCTCTGCTATGGCCAGGGAGTGCAGTGGAGGATGGCCCAGGTGCTTGGGCCCTGCACCCCATGGGAGACCAGGAAAAGCACCTGGATCCTGGCTCCTGCCATCGGATCAGCACGGTGCGCCGGCTGCAGCGGCGGCCATTGGAGGGTGAACCAACGGCAAAGGAAGACCTTTCTCGCTGTCTCTCTCTCTCACTGTCCACTCTGCCTGTCAAAACAAAAAAAAAGAAATATATAGGACATCTGTAATTTCATCTGAATAAAGTAGGACAGGGAAACAATCTTCTATTTTTCATAAATCACTAAAAACAAGCAGTAGTAACAAAACATCATAATGACATACAAAATATTCAGTTTCAAAAACAACAAATTATGACTTAAGAACAGGTTTTTGGAAAACTAAAGAGGCTGGACAACCCTCAAATCCTATAGGAAAACTAGATTGAGTTTCAGGTTCCTGGCTTTGGCTTATTCCAGCTTTGACTGCTCTGTGCATTCTGCGAAGTTTTTTTCTTTTTTTTAAAGATTTATTTTATTTATTTGAAAGACAGATATACAGAGAAAGAGGAGGAGACAGAGACGTCTTCCAATGTTGGTTCACTGTCCAGTTGGCTGCAACAGCCAGAGCTGCACCTGGCTCCTGGATCGTGGAGCTCTGGCTGTTGCAGCCAACTGGACAGTGAACCAACGGATGGAAGATGTCTCTTTCTCTGCTTCTCTCTGTAAATCTTTCAAATAAAGGCCTTTCTTTCTCACTCACTGCTTCTGTCTCGGGCTCTCTGTAACTCTGCCTTTCAAATAAATAAATAAATATTTAAAATAAATACATATATAAATAGAAACTGTATTGACCAAGTCTTCTTACAAAAAATAAAACAAATACACGATTAATAAATTGTAGTAAAAACACTATAGTGTTAAACAAAATGCAAACAGCAGAATGGTTTAAAAAACACACTGGCCTAGAATTGCCCAACAATGTTAATTCTGTGTTCCTAACAATTAATGACTTGCTATGGAGGCTGCAACATAAATTTAAACTTAGTTTTTACCTGATACTCTCGGAGACCAATCAAAATAATGTCTGAGGTATTTATCCAAACCTATGAAACAGATTTTACAGCATATTATTTTCATTTGAAGATGATTTTAATGTTAAATGAATCTTTCCACAAAACACATACTACAAAGGGTTTTCCAACAGTTCAGAAAGAAATTAAAAAGAAATTCTGGTACCCAAAATATGAAATCCACACATAGGAAGTCTCTTCAAAAGTGTTCAAGTGAAATGGATACTATCATTAAACAATGTATACATTTCAAAAGGAATCTATAGGACTTCACATTCAAATTTCTCATACCATTTGCAGTTCTATTTAACTAAAATGTAACACATATACTGAATGAATTACCCATCTCTTTTGTCACTTTTAAAACTAAAAAATTGTTTTTTTTCACATTAACATTTAGTTGAATGTAGTACTGTAGAAATCATTTATCATTTCTATATTAACTATCCAGTAAACATTTACAGCTACAATATATAATTCTTTATACAATAGAATCTTTTGAGAAGTTTAATTTGTGTTCTCAAATAAATAACTGTTTCATTTTAAGTCTTTGGCAATTTACAAAATTGAACTGCTTGGCAAACAGTTGTATACCTGAAGTAAAGTAATTCTTTGCAGCAAATTTTATAATAAAAGAAATCTATACACCTACCTTCTTTCTCAATTTTCCTCTAATATGGCATAATCGCTTTACACCATCAAAGCACATTGCTTCTAATCGTCCATTTCCCAGCATTTTGATTACTTGTGCATACTCTGAGGAGAATAAAAGAGTTGCAAAAATGTTCTTTGTTTCTCATAAAAATCTCAGTGATTTTTTTCAAGATTATTTATTGAAAAGTCAGACTTACAGAGACAGAGAGAAACAGAGCCAGACAGAAATACAGAGAGAGATTGCCCTTTTGTTGCTTTATTTCCCCAAGGGCCCACAAAACTCTAGGCTGAGTCATTTTCTACTGCTTCTCTCAACCAACAACATCGGGCCCAATTTCAGTAGAAACAAGCCTAGGACTAAGCAATCTGATACAGTGGGCTGGGTTGCCTATATCACATGCCAAAGTCATCACCGCTCCAGGTTCTGATGCAGCTTCCTGTTAATGTACCTGATGACCACACAGGAGAGCTAAATGGTGTTCTTGGCTGCAGGCTTCCACCTACCCAAGCCCTGGCTGTTATAACCACTTGTTGAAAGAAGTGGTGGTGGAAGATGTCCTTCTCCATGTCACCCTCTCTCTTTCTCTCTGTGTTTCAAGAATCTTTAAGAACATGAGTGCAACAACAAATGGTAGCTCTTTCTCTTTTTCTCAAAAAAAGCCATTCTTTAAAAAAATCTGAGCCTGATTTAATTATTGCACATTTGTATATATGAATCTATTACCATACTATACCACAAAAATATGGGCAATTAAAACAATAATTTTAAAATAAAGAAAAAATAAAAATATGAATGATAGCACACAGCAATCTTCTAGAAATAATCAATAAACAAATAGAAGGGAAACAGATTACAAAATCCTCACAAGAGTAAAATTTCAGAACTCTATGACACAATATTGATGAATTTATAATTATATTTTCATTAATTTGAAAACCTAAATTGTGAAGTTTTCACATGTTAGCTGGTCACTTTTCCTGATTTCTGAGTTAACTGTCCAATGTGCATTTTTTTAAAGATTTTATTTATGGGGCCAGTGCTGTGGTGCAGTGGTTTAACACCCTGGCCTACAATACTAAATCCCATTTGAGCACCGGATTCTGTCCCGGTTGCCCCTCTTCCAGGCCAGCTCTCTGCTGTGGCCCGGGAGTGCAGTGGAGGATGGCCCAGGTCCTTGGGCCCTGCACCCCATGGGAGACCAGGAGAAGCACCTGGCTCCTGTCATCAGATCAACGCGGTGCGCTGGCCGCAGCAGCCATTGGAGGGTGAACCAATGGCAAAGGAGGACCTTTCTCTCTGTCTCTCTCTCTCACTGTCCACTCTGCCTGTCAAAAATTTAAAATAAAAAATAAATAAAATGAAGTAAAAGTAAGAAAAGAGAGAAGTGAGCTGGCTTCAAGACCATGTCCGCCCGGAGTCGCAGAAACAGGACGCACACACAAACCCGGCCTGTGATTGGCCCCGGGTCTGAGACAGGGGGAAGCCATTGGCTGCCCGACGTGTCACCCAGGCGAGTCCAGCCCAGACGGAGGGCGAGGTCGGCGGCGAGGCTTCCGGGAGTTGTAGTCTCCCCGCTCCGCCCTGTCCAAGCCTACTGTGGCTGGACGGTGTGAAACCAGGACATTTGGCCCACAGATGATAAAAGCAAAATGATAATTAGGTCAGGAAATTAGATCAAGGAGCTTTATTTAAAAGAAAAGAGAGAAGAGAGCTGTGTGGAATCGCGGTTCAGCACCACTTCCGCCCCGAGCCGCTGAAACAGGAAGCACACGCCTGCCCAGCGTCTGATTGGTCCCCGCGTCTGAGACGGGGGGAGCCATTGGCTGTGAACTCGTCATTCTGCGCCCAGAACCCCACCCCCTGAGGCTCCACTGCCTGCTCTCGACTGGACGGGGAACCTGTTCTGAGAGGAGGAGCGTGGTGGGGGCAAGAGGTGCGGAGTCACCCCACGGACTCCGGGAGGCGGGTGAGAGCAGTCCTGAGGCGGGCAGCCAGCAGACTCGTTTATTTCAGTTGCTACAGCTGCTTCTATGGCCAAGACAGCCCATCCAGTCAAGGGGCGGTCTAGGCCCTCACCAATCACAGCCTGTGGCCAGGCGGTTTCCAAAGCCATCCAATCACAGCCTGTGGCCAGGCAGGCTCTTGGTGCCAGGCAGGTTCTGAAACCATCCAGTCACGGCCTGCCATCACTCAGGCTCTGTTGTCATGTGGTTTCCTCTGTGTCATGTGGTTTCAGAAGCCATCCAATCACGGCCTGGTGCCAGGCAATTTCTGTGGTCAGCGGCCATCTTGGCATGACCTTTTCTCCTCGGCGGCCATCTTGGCATGACCTTTTTCCCTCAGTGGCTATCTTGACAGGACCTCTTCACCTTAACGACCTTTTCACCTTACCCCTTGCCATAGTGCACAGGGAACCTGTCAGCCTGCGACCAGACACTCCCCCTTAGCTCTCATGCCTGGACATTGTGGTCCAGGATCCTTTCCGTCTGTGGCCAAACCTGGGAACCTTTCCATCTGCGGCAGGAATCTCACGTCCTTGGCTCACCTGCCTGCCCCTGAGGGGACCAGGAACCTGTCGGTCAGCAGCCAGAGCCCACCCCCTTAGTCTCCACTGAGTGGCCCTGACGGGACCGGGAAACCTGTCAGCCTGCTGACAGAACCCCACGTCATTGGCTCCGCTGACTGCCCCTGACAGCATGGGAACCTGTCAGTGTGTGACCGGAAACCAACCGCCTTAGCTCCTCTGCCTGCCCCTGATGGAGGTGGAATCCGTCACTCTGCGGCCAGAACCCCACATGCTTGGTTCCACTGACTTCCCCCTAATGGACCCAGAACCTCTCAGCCTCTGGCCAGACCCCACCTCCTTGGCTCCCCTTCCTGCCCCTGATGGGACCGGGAATCTGTCAGTCTGCCGCCAAAACCCCACCCCTTACCTCCCCTGCCTGGCCGTTCTGGACTGGGAACCTGTCAGTCTGCCACCAGAACCCCACCTCCATGGCTTCCCTGACTGCCACTGACAGAACTGAAACCCTGTCAGTCTGCGTCCAGAACCCCGCCTCCTTAGCTCCCCTGCCTTTCCCTGATGGGACCAGGAACCTCTCAGTCTCTGAGCAGAACCCCACTCCATCTGCTCCCCTTCCTGGACATCCTGCACCGGGACCTGTCAGTCTGACTCCAGAACCCAAACTCCTTAGGCTCCCCTGCCTGCCCCTAACAGCACCGGGTCATGTCAGTCTGCGACCAGAGGCTCACTGTCTGCCCCTGACTCGACCTGGAACCTGTCAGTCTGCGGCAGGAATCCCACGTCCTTAGCTCCCCTGCCTGCCCCTGACTGGACCAGGAACCTGTCAGTCTGCAGCCAAAGCCCCACCCAGCTTGGCTCCACTGAGTGCTCTTGACAGGACCGGGAACGTGTCAGTCTGTGGCCAGAACCCCACGTCCGTAGCAGACCGCCTGCCTTTGATAGACCTGGAACCTGCAGTCTGCAGAAAGAACCCCACCACCCTGCCTCCCTGTCCTACTCCACACGGACATGGAACCTGAAAGTCTGCCGCCAGAACCCCACATCCTTAGCTCCTTTGGCTGCCCCTGAGGGGACCAGGAGCCTGTCAGTCTGCATGCAGACTTCATGTCCTTAGCTCCCCTTATTGCCCCTGACTGGACCAGGAACCTGTCAGTGTGCAGCCAAACCCCACATCCTTAGCTCCACTGCCTACCCCTGTTGGAAATGGAACCCATGAGTCTGTGGCCAGAACCCCACCACTTTGGCTCCCCTGCCTGCCCTTGACGGACTGGGAACCTGTCAGTGTGCAGCCAAACCCCATGTCCTTAGCTGCCCTTACTGCCCCTGACGGGACCGGGAACCTGTCAGTGTGCAGCCAGAACCCACATCCTTAGCTCCACTGCCTGCCTCTGTTGGACCCAGTACCTGTAAGTCTGCGGCTAGAACCCCAGCTCCTGGGCTCATTTCCCGCCCCAGATGGACCCGGAATGTGTCAGTCTGCCACTAGAACCCTAACTTCTTTGCTCCCCTGACTTGCCCCTAACTGGAGCAGGAACCTTTCAGTCTGCAGCCAGAACCCCACCCTCTAGTCTCTGCTGAGTGCTCCTGACAGGACCGGGCACCAGTCAGTCTGCGGCCAAACTCCACCCCCTTAGCTCCCTTGCCTGACCATACTGGACCAGGAATCTGTCAGTCTGTGGCCAGAACCACACGTAGCTAACTCCCCTTCCTGGCGTCACTGGACCGAAACGTGTCACTCTGAGGCCAGAACCCACCCTCCTTGGCTCCCCTGACCGCCACTGATGGGACCGGGAACCCGTCAGTCTGCAGCCAGAACCCCAACCCTTGAGGCTCCAGTGAGTCCCCCTGATGGGACTGGGATCCTTTCAGTCTGCGGACAGAACTCCACCCCTTAGCTCCCAGGCCTGCCCCTGACTAGACCTGAACCTGTCAGTCTGTGGCCAGAACCAACCTCCTTGGCTCCCCTGACTGCCCGCGATGGGACCAGGAACCTGTCATGCTGCTGCCAGAACTTAGCCAGACCCCTTAGCTTCCCTGCCTGCCCCTGACTGGACCTGGAATCTGTCAGTCAGTCTGCGGAAGGAACCCACATGTCCTTAGCTCCCTGCCTACTCCTGATGGGACCAGAGACCTGTCGTCATTCTGTGGCCAGAACCCCACCTCCGTAGGCTACGCTGCCCGCCCCTGACTGGACCAGGAACTTGTGAGTCTGCAGCCAGAACCCCACCCCATCAGCACCCCTACCTACCCTTGATGGACCCGCAACTGTCACCTGTGGCCAGAACCCCGCCTCCTTAGGCTCCCCTGCCTACCTGTGACGGGACTCGGAACCTGTCAGTCTCGACCAGAGCCTAACCTGCGTGGCTCCCCTGACTTTCCCTGAGGGGGCCAGGAACCTGTCACTCTGTAGCCAGAACCCCACCTCATTGGGCTCCCCTGACAGCAACGGGAACCTGTCAGCCTGTGGCCAGATCCCCATGTCCTCAGCTCCCCTGCCTGCCCCTGATAGACCTGAACCTGTCAGTCTGTGGCCAGAACCAACCTCCTTGGCTCCCCTGACTGCCCGCGATGGGACCAGGAACCTGTCATGCTGCTGCCAGAACCTTAGCCAGAACGCCTTAGCTTCCCTGCCTGGCCATATGGACCGGGAACCTGTCCATGTGCGGCCAGAACCCCACATGCTTAGCTCCCCGGCTTGTCCCTGACTAGACAGGGAACTTGTATGTCTGTGGCAGGAACACCATCCTCTTACACCACCCTGCCTGCCCCTGACTGGAACCAGAGCCTGTCATTCTGCGGCCAGAACCCCACCTCCTTGGCTCCCCTGACTGCCTCTTTCTGGCCTGAGAACCTGACAGTCTAGGACTACAAGCCCACCTCTTGGATCCCCTGCCGGCCCTTGATGGAACTGGGAACCTGTCCGTCTGGGGCCAGAACCCCACCTCCTTGTCTCCCCTGCCTGCCGCTGATGGGACTGGTAGCTTGCCAGTCTAGGGCCAGAAACGCCGTCTTTGGCTCCCCTGCCTGCCCCTGACAGGACCGGGAACCTGTCAGTCTGCGGCAGGAACCCCAAGTCCTTAGCTCTCCTGCCTGCCCTGACTGACCCAGAACCTGTCACTCTGCGACAGTTCCTGATCCAGTCAGGGGCACTCAGTGGATCCTAAGGGAGTGGTTTCTGGCTGCTGCAGACTGAGAGGTTCCCTATCCCATCAGGGACAGGCAGGGGTCTAAGGAGGTGTGGTTCTGGTCACAGTCTGACAGGTTCCTGGTCCTGTCCATGGGCAGGCGAGGGAGCTCATGGTGTGGGGTTTGGGCCGCAGACCGACAGTTTCCCTGTCCAGTCAGGGCAGGGCAGGGAACCAAGACGTGGGTTTCTGGCCGCAGACCAACAGGTTCCCATTGTCATCGGTGGCAGGCAGGGGAGCTAAGCAGGTGCAGTTCTGGCGGCAGACTGACAGGTTCCTGTGCCCGTCAGGGGCGGGCAGGGGAGCCCAGGAGGTGGGTTCTGGCGGGAGACTGGCAGGTTCCGGGTGCCGTTAGGGGCGTCAGGAGAGCTAAGGGGCTGGGTTTTGATAGCAAACTGACAGATTCCTGGTTCAGTCAGTGGACCCGCGAGGGAGCGAAGGGTGTGGGGTTCTGGCTGCAGACTGACAGGTTCCCTGTCCAGTCAGGGGTACTCAGTGGAGCTTCAGGGGGTGGGGTTATGGTGGCAGACTGACCGGTTCCTGGTCGTGAATGGATAGGCAGGGGAGTTAAGGCGGTGGAGTTCTGAACAGACTGAGGTTTCCTGGTCCCATCAGGGGCAGGCAGGGGAGCTGAGGATGTGGGGTTCTGGCCACAGACTGACGAGTTCACAGTCCTCTCAGGGCATGCTGGGGAACTAACAAGGTGGGGTTCTATGTGCTGACTGACAGGTGTCCGGTCCTGTCAGGGGCACTCAGTGGAGCCTAAGAGGGTGGGGGTTCTGGCTGCAGACTGACAGTATGGACGGCCCAGTATGGACAGGCAGGGCAACTAAGGACCCTGGTTTCCTGCCGCAGCCTGACAGTTCCAAGTACCGTCAGGGGCATGTGGGAGCTGGCGAGTGGGGGGTTCTAGATGCTAGCTAACAGGTTCCTCATCCAGTCAGGGGCATTCAGTGGATCCTAAGGGAGTGGGTTTCTGGCTGCAGACCGAGAGGTTCCCCGTCCCATCAGGGGCAGGCAGGGGAGCTAAGGGGGTGGGGTCCTGGCGGCAGACTGACAGGTTCCCGGTGCAGTCGAGAGCAGGCAGTGGAGCCTCAGGGGGTGGGGTTCTGGGCGCAGAATGACGAGTTCACAGCCAATGCCTCCCCCCGTCTCAGACGCGGGGACCAATCAGACGCTGGGCGGGCGTGTGCTTCCTGTTTCAGCGGCTCGGGGCGGAAGTGGTTCTGAACCGCGATTCCACACAGCTCTCTTCTCTCTTTTCTTTTAAATAAAGCTCCTTGATCTAATTTTCCTGACCTAAATTATCATTTTTCTTTTATCATCTGTGGGCCGTATGTCCTGGTTTCACACCGTCCAGCCACAGTAGGCTTGGACAGGGCGGAGCGGGGAGACTACAACTCCCGGAAGCCTCGCCGCCGACCTCGCCCTCCGTCTGGGCTGGACTCGCCTGTGTGCGTCTGTTTCTGCGACTCGGGGCGCACATGGTCTTGAACCCAGCTCACTTCTCTCTTTTCTTATTTTTACTTTATTTTATTTTTTTTTATTTTATTTTTTGACAGGCAGAGTGGACAGTGAGAGAGAGACAGAGAGAAAGGTCTTCCTTTGCCGTTGGTTCACCCTCCAATGGCTGCTGCGGCCGGCGCACCGCGCTGATGCGATGGCAGGAGCCAGGTGCTTTTCCTGGTCTCCCATGGGGTGCAGGGCCCGACACTTGGGCCATCCTCCATTGCATTCCCTGGCCACAGCAGAAGCTGGCCTGGATGAGGGGCAGCGGGACAGAATCCGGCGCCCCGACCTGGACTAGAACCTGGTGTGCCGGCGCCGCTAGGCGGAGGATTAGCCTAGTGAGCTGCAGCGCCGGCCTATTACCTACATCTTAGAATCCTACCTGGTAAAGGCAAAACAGAAGAAGAGGGCTGGTTGTTAACCATATCCGTAACTTACCTCCTGCCTTTTGTTCTTTGGCTGCAGGACACATTTCATGATTTTATTTTCATTTCATTCACACCACTTTTTTTTAAAATTGACAATTATCCCGGTTTATTTTAAATAAGCAGAAAATTCCAAATGGCCTTTAAGATGACTGTGGTTTGCTTTCATGCTTACTTATAGTTTCCACTAAAAAAGTACCAATCTCTGGCAGGAAAAACATGTCATCCTACCTGTAGATAAGGACAGCAGGAATAAGCCCAACATTTTTCTTTTTCCAAAGCTGTGACATAAGCCTGGGGCTGTGGTGTTAGCACGTTAAGCCTCTGCCTGTGGCGCCGGCATCCCGTATGGGCGCGGGTTCGAGTTCCAGCTGCTCCACTTCTGATCCAGCTTTCTGCTGTGGCCTTGGAAAGCAGTGGAAGATGGCCCAAGTCCTTGGGACCCTGCACCCGCGTGGGAGACTCAGAAGAAGCTCCTGGCTCCTGGCTTTGGATCAGTCCAGCTCTGGTGGTTGTGACCATCTGGGGAGTGAACCAGTGGATGGATGGAACCCCGCCCCCCCCCGTAACTCTGCCTCTCAAATCAATCAATCAATCTTATGTCCACAACAGCCAGGGCTGGGCTAGGCTGAAGCCAGGAGAGTGGAACTCCATTGGGGTCTTCCACGTGGGTGGCAGGGACCCAAGGACTTGGGCCACCACCTGCTGCCTTCCCAGGAGCGTTAGCAGAAGCTGGAATGGACGTGGAGGCGGGACTAGAACTGGCATCCTGAAACAGAATGTGGGTGTCCCCTGGGCACTCTGGCTTTGGCCTGGCCCAGCCCTGTATATTGTGTGCATTTGGGGGGTGGACCAGTAACCAGCAGAGAGCAGATTCCCCCCCCACTCTGCTGTGCTCTGCCTTTCAAGTAGATGAAGCCAAACATGCTTTTAAAATTCATAGAGGCCGGCGCCGCGGCTCACTAGGCTAATCCTCCGCCTTGCGGCGCCGGCACACCGGGTTCTAGTCCCGGTCGGGGCGCCGGATTCTGCCCCGGTTGCCCCTCTTCCAGCCCGCTCTCTGCTGTGGCCAGGGAGTGCAGTGGAGGATGGCCCAAGTGCTTGGCCCCTGCACCCCATGGGAGACCAGGAGAAGCACCTGGCTCCCGCCATCGGATTGGCACAGCTCCCGCCACGGCGGCCATCTTGGAAGGTAAACCAACGGCAAAAGGAAGACCTTTCTCTCTGTCTCTCTCTCTCACTGTCCACTCTGCCTGTCAAAAAAAAATTCATAGAGAATGGAATTTTGGTGCAAAAAAGATTGAAGTCCATGTGTAGTTTTTTCACAATCCTTTTTCCATAAATTTTTTTGAAGGTCCCTTGAACTCAAACAAGTCTAGAAGCTAATACAACGGACACGTTACATCACCGTTCCCAGCCTTAGGGCCAGATTTGGAATATTACCTGTGCCCCAAACGAGGAGCTATAAAACAGCTTTACATATCGGGGAAGAAAGAGTGCAAATGTCGGGGCAGAGAGGAGGGATGAGGAGACAGAGGCGCGCACTCACGTCGCTCTTCTCGGTGCTTCTCAGTCGTCGCGAAGTACCGGCGCAGCTCCTCGGTGATCTCCATGTTGCTCAGGTCGCATTCCACCTCCGCATCCGACTCAGACTCCAGCTCCTCCTCCTCCTCCTCCTCCTCCTCGGACACAGTCTGGTCTTTTCTCATGGACACCTGCATCCTACCGCTGCCATGTGGAAGCCGCCCGTACCTTTCACGAGGTGAGTAAGAGAATTTTTTTTTAGAATTTTTCCGAGGTGTTCTAGAATGTACCAGAACATCACCAAGTGAGTCTGGGGGGATTCTGGGATCCGGGTCTGAGTAGAAGTTTCCCGGCTGGGTGTGACGGGCGTCCTGGTGCCGGCCTGGCCCTGCGGACATTGACGTGACATCCCGCGCCCACCGGGGCTGCGGAAACTTCCAGCACGTCGGCAGAGGGTCTCAGACCTCCCAGGACGCTCGCTGGGTTCTCTGGAACATACTGGAACATTCTACAACATTCCAAGACCCCAAAGATACTCTCCAAGCGGTCCAGGGCTTCCTATGAACATTCTAGAAAATTCTACGTCATCCGCCAGTATTCCGGAACACTCCAAGACCAGGCGCTCTAGAATACTCTAAGGCCCGAGGACGTGCGCCGGGCTCTCTGGGCGTGTTCTAGAACGTTCCGGAACATTCCACAGAATTCCTCGCGATTCCAAGGACATTCCCTGGGCATTCTAGAACATTCTGGAATCCTGGAAACACCCACCAGGGGTTCTGGAAAATTCCAAGGCCCAAGAACGCACGACAGACTCTCCCAGAATTCCCTGGGAGCACTGACCGTTCCGGAACGTCCCTGGTGTCCACCAGGATGTTTGCACAACCTTCGGCCCCGCCAACTCCTCCCCAGCCCTGGCAATAAATAGACGCCGGGTCCCCGCCGGCTCAGACGACGACGAAGACAATGGTGATGAAGATGACGGTGACGAAGGCTCTCCTCCTCGCCCTCACGGTGGGCGTGGCCTGTGCGGACGTCGACCCCGCCCAGGTATCATAAATTTGCATCATTAGTTCCCAGTATTAATTCTCGTCATGAATTCATATCATTTCTTCACATCATTACTTCGCATCACTAATTCGCGTTGTTTCTTCAGCCGTATCATTAATTCGCGTCATTTCTTCACCTCCCCAGCTCTCCGGGCCCTGGCGCACCTCCGCCATGGCCTCGACAACCTGGAAATGATCCTGGAGGGTGGGCCATTCCGGATGCTGTTCCGCGAGATGGAGTGCAACGAGGAATGCAACGCCCTGAACTTCTTCTTCTACGTCAAGTGAGGGGCGGGGCCAGGGGAGACAAGCTGAGGCCAGAGGACAGAGAGCCAGGGGGGAGCAATCGAGCCCAGAGAGCGGGGAAGACAGGCGCCGCCCAGCCCAATCGATCCCAGAGAGAGAGAGAGAGAGCAGGCCAGGGCGACCAGCCGAGCCCAGAGAGAGAGCAGACAGGAATAGTTGAGCCCAGAGTCAGAGAGCATGTGGGCTAGAGGGGAGTAATGGGAGCTGAGAAAGAGCAGACAGGAGTAGTTGAGCCCAGAGTCAAAGAGCAAGCCAGGGGGACCAGCCGAGCCCAGGGAGAGTGAGCAGACAGGAGTAGTTGAGCCCAGAGTCAGAGAGCATGTGGGCTAGAGGGGAGTAATGGAGCTGAGATGTGAGCAGACAGGACCAGCCGATCCCAGAGTCAAAGAGCAGTCCATGGTGGACCAGCTGAGCCTAGAGAGAGAAAGAGTAGACAGGAGCAGTTGAGCCCAGAGTCAGAGAACAGGTGGGCTAGAGGGGAGTAATGGAGCTGAGAGAGAGCAGACAGGACCAGCCGATCCCAGAGTCAAAGAGCAGGCCATGGTGGACCAGGCGAGCCCAGAGGGAGAGCAGACAGGAGCAGCCGATCCCAGAGTCAAAGAGCAGGCCATGGTGGACCAGGCGAGCCCAGAGGGAGAGCAGACAGGAGCAGTTGAGCCACAGCGAGCGGCCATGTTCCCGGTCTCTCCTTCAGGAAGAACGAGGTATGCACCCCGCACACGGGTTGTGGCCCAGAAGAACGCAGACGGCATCTACACCACTGACTGTGAGTACAGAGCATTTCGGAAAGTTCCAGACAATTCCAGATGACCCCAGGGACTGTCCGGTGTGTTCCAGAATGTTTGAGAATGTTCCCAGAAATGTTCCAGGATGCTGCAAATGTCCCAGAATGCTCCAGTTCCTCAATGTTCTAGAATGTTCCAGAATGCGCTAGAATGTCCCAGCATGCCCCGGCACATCCAGAACACCCACCTCTCTCCCTACAGTCGAGGGCAGACCTCCTTCCAGTTCCACGAATTGGATCCCGTTAGGCAAATCGTCTTCATCAATAACATGGGGTCCAAAGGCAAGACCAGCCGCCTCAGCTTCCTTGTGGGTGAGCCCCCTCACACACACATGTACACTGCCGGTGCCCGCTAGGGATACGCTCCACGACCCGAGAGTCTGAGCCCGACTGTATACGGGGAAAGGGGGGCTGCATGGCCAGGCATATACAGTCGGTGCCCACTGGATTAAAGCGAGTGTATACAGTCAGTGCCCACTAGACATGGTGGGCATATACAGTCGGTGCCCACTAACGCTAGCATATACAGTTGGCGCTCGCTAGATGGGGTGAGCGTATACAGTCACTAAAGTGAGTGTATGCAGTAGGCTCACACTAAAGCGAGCGTACTCAGTCGGCGCCCACTCTTGCCACAGTCAAATTGAATATCATAAATGAGGACCCACCAGAGGACTACGCGAGGCTCACGGAGCAGAATGGGATCCCGCGGAAGTACATCCGGCGTGTGGCCGACACAGGTGAGGCTTCGGCGGCTTCCGGGCTGACTTGGCGCTGACTCGGCGCTGACTCGGCTTTCCTCTCTCTCCAACAGACACCTGTCCACCCTGAGGGACGCCTCCCTTGGAGAAAGGTGCCAGAAACGTTCTAGACCATTCCAGAACCGCCCCTGATCGCCTCACCATCTCCTCCCACCTGCGAACCGCGCTAGCATGCTCCGGAACATTCTAGAACGTTCTGGATTGATCCAAGATGGTCTGGATTGTTTCCAGAATTTCTAGAAAGCTCCGGGAACATTCTAGAATCGGCGTCCCCCAGCTTTCTCTGCTTCCTGTTCATGGAATAAACTCATCCCAGGCACGTCCCAGTCGTTTTATTTTAAACGATTTTTATTGTTCCGTCAAAAGACAGAGCGAGCTGGTGGAGGAACCCAGGGGCTACCTCCGGGTCTCACCCTGCACTGTCAGTCCACCGTGTCACTGACAAGGGGGTGGGCTCTGTCATCTGGTGGCTGTCAAACAGCCCTGAGTGACCTGGGGTGGTTCTCCCCCGACTCCACTGCAGCCAGTCACACTCCACCAGGATCCCAGGGCCACATCCGGGTCCCCATGGCCACATCTGGGTCTCCAGGGCAATATCCGGCTCCCCAGGGCTCCATTTGTGTCCGCAGTGACACATCCAGGTCCCCAGGAGCACATCCTGGTCCCCAGGGCCACATCCGGGTCTAAGTGCTCCATCCGGGTCTCTGGGCTCCATCTGGTCCCTAGGGCTCCATCCGGGTCTCTGGGCTCCATCCGGGACTCCTGGCTCCATCCGAGTCTCTGGGCTCCATCGGGGTCTCTGGGCTCCATCTGTATCTCTGGGCTCCATCCGGTCTCTGGGCTCAATCCAAGTCTCTGGCTCCATCCTGGTCCCTAATGGAAACATCCGGGTCCCTAAGGCTCCATCCGGGTCTCTGTGCTCCTTCAGGGTCACTAAGGCTACATCCGGGTCCTAAGGTTCCTTCCGAGTCCTTAAGGCTCCATCCAGGTCTCTGGACCACTTCCGGGTCGCTGGGCTCCATCCGGGTTTCGGGGCTCCAACCGTGTCCCTAAGGCTGCATCCAGTCTCTGTCTCCATCCCAGTCTCTGGGCTCCACCCTGGATCTCCAGAGCCACATCCAGGTCCCAAGGGGCCACAGTCAGGTCCCAAGGGCCACATCCGGGTCTCCAGGGCCCATCCGGTTCCCCAGGGCTCCATCCGGGTCTCCAGGGCCACATCCGGGTCCCCCAGGGCCACATCGGGGGTGTCTAGGTCCACATCCCGGTCTCCATGGCCACATCCAGGTCTCCAGGGCTCCCTCCAGGGCAACATCTTGTCCCATGGCCTCCACCCGGGTCCAGGGCTACATCCAGGTCCCCAGAGCCACATCCAGGTCTCGATGGCCACATCCAGGTCCCCAGGGCCACATCCAGTCTCCCAGGGCTCTACCCGGTTTCCCAGGGCTACATACGGGTCCCCAGGGCACATCTGGTCCCCAGGGCCACACCAGGGTCCAGGGGCCACATCCGTATCTCCAGGGCTCCCTCCAGGGCCATATCTGGGTCCCAGAGGGCTCCACCCAGGTCTCTGGGCTCTCTCCAGGTCTCTGAGCTACATCCGGGTCCCTAAAGCTCCATCCTGGTCTCTGGGCTCCATCCGAGTCTCTAGGCTCCATCTGGGTCCCTAAGGCTCCATCTGCATCCCTAAGGCTCCATGCGGGTCTCTGGGCTCCATCCAGGTCCCTAAGGATCCATCCGGGACTCCTGGCTCCATCCGAGTCTCTGGGCTCCATACGGGTGTCTGGGCTCCATCTAGGTGTCTGGGCTCCATCCGTATCTCTGGGCTCCATCTGGGTCCCTAAGGCTCCATCCACATCTCTGGGCTCTATCCGAGTCTCTGGGCTCCATCCGATTCCCTAAGACTCCATCCAAGTCCTAAAGCTCCATCCAGGTCTCTGGGCTCCATCCAGGTCTCTGGGCTCCATCCAGGTTCCTAAGGCTCCATCTGGGTCCATAAGGCTCCATCCGGGTCCATAAGGCTCCATCCGGGTCTTTGGGCTCAATGCGAGTCTCTGGGCTCCATCTGGGTCCCTAGGGCTCCATCCCGGTCTCTGGCTCCATCTGGGTCTCTGGGCTCATCCGGGTCTCTGGGGCTCCATCCGGGTCTCTGGGCTCCATCCGGTTTCCTATGGCTCCATCCGGATCTCTGGGCTCCATCCGGTTCCAATGGCTCCATCCGGATCTCTGGGCTCCATCTGGGTCCCCTAAGGCTCCATCCGGGTCTCTGGACTCCATCCCGGTCTCTGGCTCCATTCCGAGTCTCAAGGCTCCATCCATATCTCTGAGCTCCATCTGGGTCCCTAGGGCTCCATCCCGGTCTCTGGCTCCATCTGGGTCTCTGGGCTCCATCCGGGTCTCTGGGCTCCATCCGGGTCCATAAGGCTCCATCCGGGTCTCTGGGCTCCATCTGGGTCTCTGGGCACCATCCAGGTCTCTAAGGCTCCATCCACGTCTAGGTGCTGCATCCGAGTGTCTAGGCTCCATCCGGTCCCTAAGACTCCATCGGGGGTCCCTAAGGCTCCATCCGGGGTCTCTGGCTCCATTCGGGTCCTCTGGGCTCCATTCGGGTCCTCCAGGGCTCCACATACGGGACCCAGGGCCACCTCCGTTCCCCAAGGGACATATCGGGGTCCCCAGGGCCACATCCAGGTGTCTCAGGCCATTACCGGTTCTCCCGGGCCACATCCGTGTCTAGGGCCACATCCGGGTCTAGGGCCACATCCAGGTCTCCAGGAACATCTGGGTCTCCAAGGCCACATCAGCATGATCAGGGCCACATCCGGGTCTCTAGGAACTCTCTCCAGGGCCACATCCAGGTCTCCATCACTATATCCGGCTCTCTATGGCGCCATCCGGGTCTCCGGGGTCACATCCGATCTCCAGGGCCACATACGGGCTCCCAGGGCCACATCCGGGTCCTTAGAGTCACATGGGGGTCTCCAGGGCCACACCCGGGTCTCTAGGGCCACATCATCTGCGTCTCCAAGGACCGCATCCAGGTCACCCAGGTCCACATCCTGGTTGCCAAGGCCACATCGGGGTCTCCCAGGGCTCCATCCAGGGTCCACATCAGGTCCCCAGGCCACATCCGGTTCTCCCAGGCCACATTCTGGTCCCCATGTCCACACCCGGGTCCCAGGACCACATCCAGGTCCCTAGGGCCATATCAGGGTCTCCAGGGCTCCATCAAGGCCTCTAAGGCTTTATCCAGTCTCTGGGTTCCATCAGAGTCCTCTGGGCTCCATCCGTATCTCTCTGGGCTCCATCCGGGTTCCTAAGACTCCATCTGGGTCTCTGGGCTCCATCCGAGCCCCTAATGCTCTATTTCACTCTCTGGGCTCCATCCAAGTCTCTGGGCTCCATCCAGGTCCCTAAGACTCCACCAGGGTCCCTAAGGCTCCATCCGGGTCTCTGTGCTCCATCCGGGTCCCTAATGCTCCATCGGGGTACCTAAGGCTCCATCAGGGTCCTCTGGGCTCCATTCGAGTCCCTAAGATTCCATCCGGGCCCTAAGGCTTCCATCCAGTCCCTAAGCCTCCATCAGGGTCTCTGGGCTCCATCAGGGTCTCTGGGCTCCATCCGGGTCTTAAGGGCTCCATCTTGTGTATAAGGTTCCCTCCGAGTCTCTAGGATCAATCCAGGTCCCTAAGGCTCCATCGAGGTCTCTCGGGCTCCACCAGGGTCTCCGGGCCACATCCGGGTCCCCAGGGCCACCTCCAGGTCTCTGGATTCCGTCGGGTTCTCTGGGCTCCATCCGAGTCTCTGAGCTGCATCCGGGTCTCTTGGCTCCTTCCGGGTACCTATGGCTCCATCCGAGTCTCTGAACTCCATACGGGTCCCTAAGACTCCATCCGAGTTCCTAAGGCTCTATCTGGGTTCCTAAGGCTCCATCCCAGTCTATGGATTCCCTCCGGCTTGCACAGAGCGAAGCCGGGAGACTACACCTCCCCGAAGCCTCAGCGGCGGCGGCGACGCTCTACGTGTGGGCTGTACTGCCCTGAGTGACAGGTAGCCGACCCAATGGCTTCCCCGGTCTCAGACTCCGGACCGCTCAGACGTGGGGTGGGTGTGTGCTTCCTGTTTCGGAGGCATCTGCTCGGGGCGGAAATGCTGTGGAAAGGACCGTGTTTCAACCCAGCTGTCTTCTTCTCTTCTTTTAAAGAAGCTCTGAGGCCTAATTTTCCTGACCTAAATGATCATTTTTCGTCTATCACCTGTGGGCCATATTTCCTGATTTCACATTGTCCAGCCACCCTCTGCTTGGACAGGGTGGACCGGGCAGACTACAACTCCCCAAAAGCCTCAGCGGCAGGGCGCTCTGCGGCTGGGCTCGTCTGAGTGACAGGTCAGACAGCCATTGGCTTCACGCGGTCTCAGACTCCGTTGCCAATCAGATGCCGAGTGGTTGTGTCCGCCCTGTTTCTGCGGCTCGGGGCGGAAATGGTGTGGAAAGGAACCGACCTCGAGCCACGCCCCTCGCGGCTCCTGACTGGACGCGGGAAGTGACGTCTGCGCGCACCACGCGGCAGTCGTCCCGCCCATGTCCAGCTCGGACCGGACGGGGCAGCTTCGGGTCTGTGTCCCGCACGTCCCTGGCAGCCCCTGAGCGGGCGCGTACCCGCCTGTCCGTCCGCCAGAACCTCGCCCTGTAGCTTGCCCTGCCTGCCCTTGTCTGGGAGGAGGAACGCGCAGTAGGAGCCTAGAACCTGTCTTCTGCGACGCTGCCTGCCCGCGCCCAGCACGGGCGGGACAGGCCGGACTGTTCCTCCTCCTCCATCAGAGCCAGTCAGGGCCGGGCAGAGGGCGAGGTTCTGAACCTAGACCTGCGCCTCACTCGTCCAGGGAGGCCAGGCAGCCACCGGCGAGGAAGGAGGTGGCGTTCTGAGCGCGCACTGGAAAAAGTCATTAGGCGGCAGTGCAGAGGGCGGGAGGAGGCGCCCTCCGGCAGATTCCGGGTCGCGTTAGGGGCAGCAGGAGCGCTAAGGGGGTGGGGTGCTGGCGGGAGACTGACAGATTCCCGGTCCAG